TTCGCTCGATCGCGAGCACGCCTGTTGCCAGAGACTCGAGTTTTTGCCAGACCTCTGCTGTCAGATAACTTCGAATCGTAAACGTGGCTAAGGCTCCTCACCTGTTCCTCTAGAACCGTGGAGATCCGATTCCTTGCCACCATAAAACTGATCGCTGCCACCTTACCTTTAAGGATTGACAGACTCCTCGACTTCTGCGGTTTGAATTGCATGCCGCTCCATTGGACCACCTCATCCAATCTTTTCAGAATCGTGCGAGCAGATTCCTCGCTGCCCGTGATTATAGTGTCATCCATAAATGCAGGTAGTGGCGGAATCCAGTGATCCCCAATCTTAAGGCCCTGTCTGTAGCCGGCCGCCCTGTCTAACATGACCTGCATCGAAAGCTTAGCGACAAGACAGGGACACTTTTTTTTTACACCGTAATTCCCCGGTATCATGAACATTGGTACATGGAATGTCAGAACACTCATACAAAACGGAAAGCTGGATAACATCAAGATGGAAATGAAGAGAATGAACATCAACATATTAGGAATTAGTGAAATGCGATGGCCAGGAGCAGAGGAAAAGTATTCAGATCAGCACAAAATTTTTTATTCGGGTGGGAAGGAATATAGTATGGGAGTTGGTATTATTTTGGATCCAATGAACTCAAAAACTGTTAAAGGATTTTGGACAATATCAGATAGAGTACTATTAGTAAAACTTCGCGCAGACTGTTTGACATCAACTTAGTACATATTTATGTCCCAACAGCAGATAGTTCAGAGGAAGATATTGACGCATTTTATGACGAGTTAGACATGGCTGTTGATGAATGCAAAAATTGTGAAGTAACAATGGTACTTGGAGATTTCAACGCGAAAGTAGGAAGTGAAAAAGTGTACGGAATAACGGGTGGCTATGGCCTAGGAGAAAAGAATGTGAGAGGTGACAGATTAATAGCATGGTCTGAGTCGCGCATCATGATAATAGGTAACACCTGGTTTGAACACCATCCTCGAAGATTGTGGACTTGGAAAAGTCTTGGCGATAATGTCCGCAATCAGATTGATTATATTTTTCTTTCAAAAAGATTCCAGAACAGCTTAGTTGGAGCAAAAAACTAGACCACCAGCAGACTGCTTTAGTGACCTTGTTCTAGGAAAAATTAGAAAAAAAAAACCAAAGAAATTAGAAAAACACCACAGAACATCAAGTTAAATTTAGGAATTCTTAGAGCGGATAACGAAATTAAGGAACAGTACAATGTCACTTTACAAAACCGGTATAATGCAATGGAAATTATACAGACTATTGATGAACAGTGGGATATGTTGCGTGAGTCAGTTCAGCAAACACCAAAAGAGACAATCCCACCAACCCATAGAGTTGCAAAAATGAAATGGATGTCAACCGAAATTCTGCAGTTGATGGATAAAAGAAGGAAGAAAAAGAATGATAAAGAAGAATACTCTAGAATACAAAAAAGAAATAGTGAACAAATGCAAAGTGGCTAAAGAAGCCTGGCTGAATCAAATGTGTACAGAGATTGGGGAAAATCATAGGAAAGACCCACATTCCATGTACCAACAGATAAACATGTTAACAGGAAAGATGACACGTAACAGCACTGGATGTTTTAAATCAAAAGATGGTGACTTATTAATGGGACATAGTAATATAATTAACAGATGGACAGAGTATATAGGGGAATTGTATGATGATAATAGACCAGACGTAGAACTGCAGACCAACAATGATGGTCCACCAATAATGACTGCAGAAGTTGAGGATGCAATACTTCATATGAAGAAAGGAAAAGCACCCGGGCCAGACAACATCTCACTGGAAGAAATCGAAGCACTGGGAGATTTCGGAATTGAAACAATAACTAAACTTTTAAATGATATTTATAACAGTAGGTATATTCCAAATGATCTTTTAAAATCCATATTTATGGCTCTGCCTAAGAAACCAGGCACTATAAAATGTGAAGACCATCGCACAATAAGTCTTATGAGTCACATGACTAAGATTTTACTGAGAATAATTATGAGAAGAATAAGAAACAAAATTAAACAAGAAATCAGCGATGAACAATGTGGATTTGTAGAAGGAAAAGGTACAAACAATGTCACATACATCCTAAGGACTTTGTCAGAAAGAACTATATAAATAAAGACTGATTTGTACTTATGCTTCATAGACTATACAAAAGTATTTGACTGTGTGAAGCATGAAGAAGTAATCAAACTGTTAGAAAAATTAAACATTGATGGGAAAGATCTACGAATATTAAAGAATATGTATTGGCAGAAAACAGCAGCTATAAGAATAAACAACTGTTTAGGTACATTTCAAAGCATAAAGAGGGGCGTACGACAAGGATGTGTACTTTCACCTGATTTGTTTTCAATACACAGTGAATATATAATGAGATCTTTAATTGATATGTCCGGAATTGTGATTGGTGGGCACAATATAAAGAATTTACGTCATGCTGATGACACAGTCTTGATAGCGACAAGTCAGAAAGAATTACAGGAAATGATAGACATTGTGGTGTTAGAAAGTGGAAGAATGGGCCTGAGTTTGAATAATGGAAAGACAGAAGTAATGGTGGTATCAAAGAAACAAATTATTCCTAAATGTGTAATAAAAGTCAATGGTGTTATTTTAGGACAAGTACAGAAATTTAAGTATCTGGGCAAATGGATAACATCAGATGGAAGATGCATAACTGAAAAAAGAAGCAGAATTGGACAAGCAAAAACTGCATTTTATAAAATGAAAAACATCTTGTACAATATATCCTTGTCATTGATAGTTAGAAAAGAAATTCTTGCATACATACATCCAGTTTTAACATATGGATTTGAATCCTGGACAATCGGTAGGCAGGCCAAACAATTTTTAGAGGCCTCAGAGATGTGGTTTTACAGAAGAATGCTTAGAATACCTTGGACAGCCAAAAAGAGCAACCAAGAGGTTTTGAAACAGGCGGGAGCCCGAAGACAACTTATCACAGACATCAGAAGGAGACAGTCGTCATTTTTCGGCCATGTTATGAGAAGAGGGAAAATAGAACATGTTGTGACCGTTGGAAAGATCTGTGGAAAAAGGGTTAGAGGAAGACAACGAGAGAAGATGCTTGACAGTCTTGTTGCATGGCATGGAGGTGTGTCGGCACACGAACTGAGACATGCTGCAGGTGATCGCAGATTGTGGAGAGGCATGATCGCCCACGCCAGTCGGCAAGGCACCTGATGATGACGATGATGAATTCCCAGGTCGACCCAGCCTGAAATGGGTACCATGTAATGTCCTGGGAAGTAAAGATGGCCAGCATATTACCAGTTAAGATCTTACAAATTGGTCTATACCATATACGTCTAGCACTCTTTGCTCAATTTACCAAAATGTTCCTCATTGTATATACTTTGTGAATACAGCATTCGAAAAGCTTAATCCCCAGTAATGGAAGAAGATATTTCAGCAGTCATAGCAGAGCGTTCATGTAAGATGCTTTGCTGTTCACATAACATCGTTGAGAAATGAAGATACCGTTTTTATCTCAAAATGTCTTGACTTAATACCTGGGAAAAACTGCCACCTTTCAGAGTTGCATACTCAAGAGAACGATGCTTTAACGTTTGGTTAAAGGCAACATTTTTAAAGAGTCGTACAATTGTGTTGATGCCAAATCCTGACTTGTTCAGTTTAATTTCTTACCAAGAAGGTTCACACAATCGCCTTTTCTCCATTTACCAAGGTCTAGCGATTTCTCATTCAGTGAGATTTCAGTGCTCGACAAGGGTGAGTCCTCCAGCTGAAGAAACATTCTGAAGCTACCAGATTCTGATCGTGGAGCTCCGGTTGTGCAGATAACAGCTGTAAATAATACTTTTTTTTTAATACAATGACGACTAACTCCCCACATACAGTACCAGCAAATGCCGATCAGCACAAAGAAACATGCATTTCGAATACACAATACATCATTAGAAGAGTAATCCCATACACATGTTGAATTTATTGTAAGGAGAGTCTGACATAAATACTTTGTGGATGCTATAAACCTAACGTTTAACTTACTACTATTTTAATCCTTAATGAATACAAGACAATAAAAACATCTCCCTAAAACCCTCCCACGCAACCCTTCCCCTATCCCAAACTATATTACATTTATTGTGAAGCTATTTACGCATAAACGCTACTTGCTATAACAGACTCTACAAAGCTGTCTTTGCAATGAAAGTGGTCTGCAAAGAATCCACATTTATGTGTAGTGTGAGTTGTTTTCTTTTCAAGCCGTCCGCAGTTTAACAGGCTACTTGTAATCCCATATAAGTAACAAATAAATGTGCATCTGGAATATGATTGTAGATTCATATTTATTTTAAATATATCTATCACGGCTTTTGACAAATGATGAGGTCGACGTCGCGGCGATCGCCTTTACCTTCCATGACCAATCCTAGTAGACATATTTTGGTTGTATCTATCTGGAATCGAACACCCCCCCCCCCCCACCCACCTTTCCTCAACCAATCCAGTGCCGATTAAAACACAGAACGTTATGTTTTTAAGCATTTGTTTAGAAATGTAATATTATTTCGACGAAATTATCATGTTTAGTTTCAAGTCATCACACATTAATAATAGTAATAGTAACCAAAATTGTTATTATATCGCACACTTCAACAAGGCTTAAGCTCATTGACCCTGCCATTATACAGTTATTAAACGAGTGAGAACACACACTTCCCCTGTTTGTTTTCCAACATGTTGTGTGTGTGTATATATATATATGTATGTGTCTGTGGTGAGTGTGTGTGTCTGCGTATATATGTGTGTGTTTGTGTGTGTGTGTGTGTGTGTGTGTGTGTGAATTATCTGAAAGTGTGTGGGTTGCACGCCTGCTAGCAAGGTACAATTTGAACGTGGATAAAATTATTTGCAGCTCATTTCTCAGCTAATAAGCAAAATACGAAACATTTCTTGAAACTTACACGGGTCCGTGAAGTACACAGTTAAAACAAAACGGTCGCCGTCTAATATAAATGGTTTCCGCAAAATTTCACTGGTCAGCAATGATGATTTAGGTATCTAGAAATAAATGAACAATTAATTAAAATAATAACAAAACAAATAACACACTGCAATTTTGTGTTTCTTGGTATATTTCACAGTATTGCCCTAGCTGCAAACTGTAGTGTTAATATAAACTAACTTAACAAATACATCTTTTTAAAAACTATCATCGTCATCATTATCGTTTGTGGTGCCATTAAGCATAGGCTGTCATGTTTCACCTCTACGGTTACACGTCTCATGGACCAGGTCAGTTTTCTTGTCTCGCCACCTCCATACTGTTGAGCCAGGCGGGTATTTTCTATCTTTCCTTTCACACACACACACACAAGCACATACTCACAAATCACAACCTACTGTTGCACAGTATCTCAGCACGGAAATCAGAGATTAACTTTGTGCTAGTTTGGTTTAAAGTATTATTTCCTTTTTCACTTTCTACGCTACGTTACGTTCCAAAAGATGTGTTTAAAAATGTAAAATAATTTTAAAAAATTATCTAAAGGTAGGTAGGTAGGTAGTTGAACCCCATTAGGACATCACACAAGCGATAAACATCCGGTGACACAAAGAGCCACGATGCGGATGGGGATCACCCGTGAAGAGAAACCCCTTTTACCCGTTAGGCCATATCTATGCCCCAGATATATTCAGGACCAACGGCAAAAGCCGGAGTGGAGCTTCAAATTTAAAAAAAAAATTGCACCCTACATAGGGACGATTTTTCTAAACTTTTATATCTAAAGGCATAATCCAAATAAATCATCTGCTCAAAGTCAGACAGATAACATTACTCTTTCTCGTTTTTTTTTCGATCTTTGACATACTTGTAGAAAACTAATGGAGAATCACCAAACATAATTACACTACTAATGTGTAACTTCTGTACTATCATTGGCCCTTTTTTGCAAAAGGAAATATGTCTCATAGTATTAAACATGAACGAAGAGACCATCTTTATACTAGTGGCGCCCTTTGAAAGGCCACAGAAAGATGTCTATGATACAATGAACATTATACAGTCTACCTTTAAATCCCAGTACGCATTTTAGCTTGGGCCAGCCTTGATGCCAAAGTCAATTCGACAAACTTTCTGATTCTATGCGGTATGGAACACTAGCTATTCAGACCGACAGGCAGGTTTTTAGCCACTGGGCTAGCGCAACTCTCATTATGATGAACCTAACAATATGGAAGCCAGTGTGGTTTTAGCGGTAAGACGCTCGGCTACGTATCAGAATTAAGGTCGTGGATTCAGGTCTTGATGGAGCCGGATTTTTTTCTCCAAATGACCTTGGCTGCCATGTCACCCAGTATTAAATGGGTACCAGGTACAGTCCTGGGAAGTAAAAGTGGCCGGCGTGATGTTAACCACATCGTCAATTGAATGCTGATTATTCTATAAAGTTTAGGTCTAGCCCGATATGCCCAACACGCATGAAGGCATGGAAAAGCGTCCTTTAATTACTTCATACCTACCGTTATCTGAAAGCCGGCAACTACTCCAGTGACGTCAAACAAAATAACCATAGTTAATTCGTTCCGTCTTTTGTAGGGAATGCCTTTGAATTTGGGGTTATCTGTGGAAATGAGTAACAACATAACATCATCAGGTAAGTCTGGATTTTTATGCACATAACATTGTCCTGCAAAAGAGTAGACAGAGCATGTATATCTGAAGAGGACATGCAAGTGGTCTGGACGATTTTCTACCCTCAGGTGAAAAATTGAGGAACTTTCAAATTGTTCGCAGCTGACACCTTCAGTTGTGGGAATTCTTCGTTGGCTTCTTAGAAAAGGGATGAAGCACGTACGATAATGTGAATTATTGAATCCTCACATAGCATAACGTTTTGTCTGCTTATGTCAATCCAATGTCATGGTCACGTTTAAAATCTTATTCCTAGTCTGATAATGTGCTAGTTTTCACTAACTCAATGTCTATTAAAAAGTGCCCGTACTCATAATGTCAAAAGGTGCCGATACTTACAGCAAATTGTTTATCACAGTAGAACTGAAAAATGATTGAAAAGTTGCCGGTTATGCATACCGCCGAGTAAAAACAAAAACAAAAATGCCCTAGATACTGGATTCGAAGTAGACGAAGGTAAATAAGTATTAATAAAGGTTATCTTGGGCATACAAAAAATAAGGTACGAATGTCTCTAAAAAAACGTCTAATCGG